GCCCAAACCAATGTAATATTCGGAATCATGACACTCGATTATCTATTGTCCCCTAAGTTTTGGGCCAAAAGCTTCTGGACAGTTGGGGACCTTCCCTTTATAACACCACGATAAATTCTATTTTATCCGGGGCATACCTTTGAATCAAGAAAAGTTCTCAAAATCAATGGAACCTGCTTGGTTCCTAAATGAGAGAATTTCTTTCTAATCGCTTTGAGTACCGAATCAGATTGTATAGATAAAATAGAATTTACACTGATGATTTGACGTAGTCCGAATCGATTATGGGTGAGTTACGAATTTTTAATTTTCTGTGAAATAGTCCAAAATTCATTTCTTCAGAAAATACACCTTACCACGAGAATCAGTGTAATTGATAACCTATATTTCCATTCACCTTCGAGACTTACACCTTGGACGATCTATCCGTGAAAGAAAATGAAACTATTTGTATGGCAACTTTCGGAATATTAATCTGGTTTTCTAAAAATCTCATAAAAAATCAATTTTCTCAAAGAATTTTGAGAGGATTTTTTTCATACAACCGCGTGCCTCAGTCTTTACTGCTCAATGGCGAACATCGGATGTCTTTATTTCCTTTCTTTCGAACGTGCTCTAATTTCAGAAATAAATAATAGGTAAGGAGGAACTGTTGCGTACATGCGTTACCATCCTCTGTTTCCGACGATTTTCGTTTGTGAAACCGTGGAGTCTAGAACCAGATACGTTCGTATTTCGTGTCATTGAATCGAATCGATAATATCTGGTCAAACGAGAGCTTATCTCTCTCAGGATAAGATAAAAAAAAAGAAAAGTAAAATTTTGGAGAATTCTCACGAAATGTTGTCCAGTGAAAAATAGTGTTACCGTATTTTCCCTAAACTGGATGATTTGAGTACCTCGCTAGTACTTCAGTTATAAGACACAGTTTTTTGAAAAAGTGACATTTTGTTATCTTTTCCATGCAACTTTTCCATGAGTCAACTAGAGTGGACACCGATTTTAGATTCATGACTCCTCCTTGGTACCCCTCAAGAAAATGGAAAAATTAATTTTCTTAAAACTCAGTTTTCTGAAATGACTTATTTTAATAGTTTAGGCCAAAACCAGCAGGTGAAAGTGTAACGTACAAAAACGAATTTTTCCATTTTCCCAAGAGCGAATTTTTTGATGAAAAGTGATAGTAATGGAAAACACATGAGATATATGTCATTCGGCTCTATTGTCATGCACATTCCAAATATGACCTTCGCTTTTGTCTGAAATATTGTTTTAGTGGCAAAATTTAGGAAATACCACCGAAAACCTGTTGAAAACCACTTAAACTGCGTTTTCTGCCCTGTTCTACAAGTATTTCCTGTTCTTTTTCAGTACCAGCAGATAGAGCGAAAAAGGTTGCACTGAATCGGTTTTTATTAACTGTGCTCGATGTTCATTAAAATTGTGTTTTCAACATTTTTTCGCTAGTTACCATTTTCATTGAAGAAACAGCTAATACTTTTAAAAGCTCTTATTTTTATGCCATGTCTAACACATATACGCAGCGATATGAATTAAAGGCCTTCGATAAGTTGAAAAACAAGGCAAAAAAAGAGCAATTTTTGCACTATACTGCGTAAAAAAGTCGGTTTTTCCTCTTTTTCTAAGTTTTTGATGTAGAAAACTCGCTCAGAACCTCTCATGAAACCTTGAAAAGCGGTTTTCTGTAGGTTTCGCGACGTACTCTATCAACTGGACAGATCAAAAAAAAATTTTCGGCTTGAAAACCAATATCTTCAAAAACCGGGGCTTTAAAGTCAAAATTAGCCCAAACTATTATGAAATTCGGAATCAGCATGCTCAATTAGCCCCGGTCAACTGAGTCTCAGCTCAAAAGCGAGGGAACACTTGGTGGCCTTCCCTCGTTAGTGGAAATAATTATTTTTTGTTTCTCTCGGTGCCCGGGCAAAGACTGCCGGGGGCTAGGCGGCGCCCGGTCTAGCCCAGCCTTGGTTACTTCACTATTTAGAAGCCATTTTAAGCCGCTGCCTGGATATTTCGACCATACTTAAGAAATAGTTATCACAAGTTAACTAACTGATAGTTACCGTTATTTCCACGGTAACTCGAAACGCAGTTACCGTTAAAACCACGGTAACTGTCTTTTCAGTTACCGTTGTCGATAACGGCCGAAGAAGTAACGGTAACTTTTACAGTCCTAATCTGAATCACTATCTATTTTAGTTTTTTGATACTTCCTGGGCTAGGGGACCTCGAGATACTCTTTTTGGCAGAAGAAAATTGAGGTAAATTGAAGATTACACCTTATCAAACCACTTCGGACACTACAAATACGATTATTCGTGATCAGCGTGGTCGATTACATATTATCAGATGGGTTTGGAGAAAATTAAAAATTAAAAGCTCTCCAGAAATCCTGGAGGAGATCTCAGGACTCAAAAATCTGTCCGAGAGTTTTCGCGAAACTTAGTGTCTGAAAATGTTTCTGAGCTTCCCCTGACATGGTTCCAATGCAAAAAGAACAAAAATTTTGTGTACCCGGTTCGGTTCCTTAAGGTTTCTTCTCCTTAAGGTGCAGGTTTCTTCCCATTTAGATTTTCACCCAACGTTCCCAGTTTGTAGAGGATACTTCGAGGTACATGTCTTGAAGTTTTTCTCGGCTTACTGACATTATCTGGCTGAGAAAAAAATTAATTACTTTAAAAAATATTGTTGGGTTTTTGAACAAGGGACTATTATTAAAAGAATTCCTGTCCTTTCTCCATTCATCATAAAAACTTGGTTCTTGTCTAGATAGAAAGAGAAATGTGTGGAGAATATTTACTGTGAGAAAATATGTAGAAAATTCTGTGCTTTCCTTCCTGTTATTGACTAATTAGCACTAATTAAGGTTAATTTAGCCTGCTCTACTAGCTTACAGTCCCATTTGCAAAATAAGGACTCAACGGTTCGAAACTGTTCTAATTAATCTGTATTAATCAAAGAAAAATGAGAAAAACCGTAACTCTGTGACAAGAAACGGTCAGAAGTGTCACAGCGTGGCGATTTTTCTTATTTTTCTTTGATTAATACAGATTAATTAGAATAGTTTCGAACTTAAGAAGCTATCACATCTGGGAGAGCAAACAATTTTCTACAAACCGATATACTTGTTCAATTTTCGCCTGCTCGTCTTCACTCTTTTAGATACGTTTTTTAGATAGCCCCCTCCAAATCAATTTTTGGACTGTTTGTACAACAGCTGTACTTTCATAACGAATCAACGTTCAGAGCCGAGACACTTTTCAATTTGTAGAGAAATGTTTAATCTACTTAATTATATAGTTGCAATTTTAGATTAGTTTGTAGCTCTATTGCAATAATTTTTGAAAATGAGCGTAAGAAGGAAACCGTTAGCTGGACTAGCCGCATACAAGTTTTAATTGCAAATACAGACAAATCAATAAAATTACAGTTCGAGAATCATTATCAGGAAATATCCTGAAAGAGAAAATAAGATGCAAGATTTGCAATACTGTGTCAACTAGTCGATTTATATGACGCTTGATTACGTTTCATAGAGACTTGTTGACCATATAGCGTAAAATTTGCAATGTTCGCAACGGAAAATCAGCTGCTTTGAGAAAATATTTTGTTTTGAACATTATTTTGTTGCCTATTGTTTTCTTAGATAATCTTCTAGTTCTCCTCTGCATGATATTTTTCTTCAACAGTTTGGCACTCGTGTCCAATGCATAGTAGTTAAACAGTTTATTTTTCTTCATTATAACGTAATTGCTGTGTGCCATTGTTACTTTTATGTTTTGTGATTAACAAGTTCTCGAGTTAACAAATGAACCTTGATGAACAAATTTTCCGAAAATCTGATCTACCAAAGGCCTTCCTATACTGGAACGGATACCAGAGTAAAAACTAGTGATATCGATTACGTACGCTTTTATTTTGTTTAAGAAAAAGTGACTTGACGCTTAAAAACATTCTCTCATCAGTTCCTTTTATCAGCACTCCTCCGAATTCTACGTGAACCAATCCTCTTGAATTGGTTCGTCTTGGACTGGTGGTCTTGGACACATAGATATTTCACATGCCTTGGCAATATAAGGCTTCGTTTGTTACAATGCTGTACCTTAAAGACAAGGTGCTGTACGAATGAAAACTGCAAAAGAGACGATAAAACTTCTTGATTTTTCCCACATTAAACTTACACTTCACTTTTCTTTCTTATTTCTAGCCCTTTTTCTTAGTACATCTATAAAAATAATTATTCGCTTTTTTTCTTTACTTTGTATATACGTATACATATTCACCATTCTGTAACAATAAAATTTCATTCATTTTGTATGACGTTATCAATCAATGCATCAATTCACACAATTTGCACCATTCGGTTAGAAAATTTTGTTACTAGATTAATGAGACATGACTCTCTCATCTGTTACAAAATTATACGATTCATTGAGTTAGAAAAAAAAATACTATTATGAGCATCATATTTAACAACAAAATATTCTTTATACTATCATTTTTCAAATATGAAGTTCTTCTCAGAGATACTTCTTCAACTATTCTTCTCAATTCCGCTCGTTTTAACGTCAAATACTTGGGAAGATTTCGATGGTTATACGATTTATCCAAAATATAATTTAACTGATTGTGTTTTCCCATTCGTCTACCGAAGTAAAACATACGTAAATTGTACAACAGATGGTGATAATGGTGACCGACCGTGGTGTGCTTTGCATTCAAATTATATTGGATTATTTAAAACATGTTACGATTATTGGAATTCTAATTTAAAATGTGTATTTCCATTTTACATGAATAATGTGCGGTATGATGACTGTGCCATCCTTGTAAAACGCCCAGAATATATCTATAAACAATGTAGATCAAATTCAGATGATCCACGATACAAATATATATATTGTATAGACCAACATATTAAAAAAACTGGTAGACCATTGATACATAGTGATAATTGTCCATCTAACTACGCAAGTATGACAAAAGACCACACAAAATGGTGAGTATTATTTAATCCTTCTATCCACTGCCAGAAAATCAAATAATCAGTGAAAATTATTTCAAAAATCGTCTGTGTGTTCAAAATAGAGTATTTTACTTACACTTCAAAATGTGTATGCTTAATATATTTTTTTTTCTCTAGTGCTGGTCCATCTGACTTTGCCATTCCACGTCCAATTTCTTCTGACGGTCAGCAAGCCCTTATTGATCTGCATAATCAATATCGTGCTGCTGTTCCGGCAGCGAATATGCTTAAGACCTATTGGGATCCAGAACTAGCAACAATGTCACAAAACCATTGTAATATGTGTGGATTTGATCATGATCTAGCTGAAAATCGTATTTCTGTCAAGTATGGATGGAAAAATGGTCAGAATATGATAGTAACAACGGATCAACGTAGCCCAGCGACTGATTTATTTTCAATGATGTATGATGCTGAACAAAAACGATTTGCCTTCGGTGTAGGATGTAACGATACGACAAAAGCCGGATGTCTTCATTATACGCAAGCTATGTTATCTAATATTAATCTGATGGGTTGTAGTCAAACAGATTGTATATATCCTGATCAAGTACAACGATTTTGTTGTTGTAATTATATTCAATCACAATATGCAAATAGTTACATGACTCCATATCAGAAAGGTAAGAATATTTGATAATTTTTTTAAATTAATTTCTGTAGAATAAAAGAGTTATTGATATTCCAGGTAGTCCATGTTCAGCATGCCCAAATAATTGTGATAAAAAAAAAATGTTATGTGATTGTGGTACTAAAGTGTGTCCAAATGGTCAATCACTTGATGCGGTATGCAATTGTGGTGATCCTAAAAAACGACAACACAACAGTAATGATGAGAATGACTCATTGTACAAACGTTCTGAAGATATTTTAGAAGCTGAAGAAAAACGCGATCAAAATACGGAAGAAATCGTAGATCCTGTTTATATTTATCATTCACCAACTGGCGAAATATCTGGCAGAGAATTCGTTAATATTAGAGCAGAAAAACGACGAAAACATAACAATATTAGACCTGAAAAACGAAAATTTAATCATATTATACCAGCAAAACGCAATGAAAATACGGAAGAAATCGTAGATCCTGTTTATATTTATCATTCACCAACTGGTGAAATATCTGGCAGAGAATTCGTTAATATTAGAGCAGAAAAACGACGAAAACATAACAATATTAGACCTGAAAAACGAAGATTTAATCATATAACACCAGCAAAACGAAGATTTAATCATATAACACCAGCAAAACGAAGATTTAATCATATAACACCAGCAAAACGAAGATTTAATCATATAACACCAGCAAAACGAAGATTTAATCATATAACACCAGCAAAACGAAGATTTAATCATATTAAACCAACAAGAGATGAATTAGTTCGCAGTATTGATCAAATGGTTGATGAACTTGAACAAAAACAACAACGTAGCACAAATTTAATGATGGAACAAAATGAAATGGAAGAAAATATTTGAATTAGAAAGTGTTTAATGTTACATGTATTTATATTAGGCTAACGTTTGTCAGAAGTTGTATAAATAAACTATCAGAGAACTTTATTAGAACCATTTAACAAAATTATGTTAGTAACTATCCAATAATGATGGGGAATACGATAAATCTTTTACCGTTTAAGAAGCTGAATAATAAATTATAATCATTGTTTCACTACAATTCAAGTTTTTTAATCTTCGATGAACACGTTTCATGAACGAAAAGCACAATGAGGAGTTTTTTTCTTTGTGAGAGCAAATGTGTGGTACTATATTCCTATGATCTTATATAATAAAACTAATTGAGTATAATAAGCAATCGGATATAAAATAGACAACAGTTATAATTTTATGTCGATTCTTTTAGAAAATCATGGATGTCTATCTCTCAAATATCATATTTGTAGGTCTAGATTAAAAAACGTTAAATATTACTTTATTCAAAAACGATTGACAAACGATAAAATGTAACGAATTTTTTAAGTTTTCTGAGAAATAAAAGACTTCATCAACTCATTCATAAACAAGATATACTACAGAAACGAATTATGTATTATGAAATGTTGTACGTTTTCAAGCACTATTTCTGTCTTTTCCATTTCATTCACGTTTCCACACATAGTAGAAGATCAGATAACCTCCTGTTTTGCCCGATGAGGCAAACTCTAAAAGATAATGTTGTTTTGTTTCGACTGTTAGTAAAGATAAAGAGTACTTCGGAGACCAAAATCAGTATTGTACAGAATTTAAAGTAGCAGTTAATCAGCAAAATATCAAATAATTTGGCAGCAGCTTAATAATGTCGAAAATATTTTGCGAACAGTAATAAATTTTGCTAATTTTTTCCGTTTATTTCTTAATTTAAGGGGGAGGATCTTGTCACTCAGTTTTTTTACCGTTTTGTAAAGGACAGTTTGAATTATATATGGGAAAATGCTTATGGTCACCGGACTTATAATTCTTAAAAAAAATTTTGCTTTTAATTTTTTCTCTATTTTCACCCTGTTTTTAAAATTTCAATAAAATTTTCAAAATTCTATATCATAACCTCGATTTTCTATAGAGGACATCGAGATTTATCTATAAAAAGGTTTCGATCAAGTTTTGACTGAGTTATTCTACTTTGACCCGTTCCACGAAATTTTGATGCAAAAAGTGTTTTTAAAACACCGTGAAGTGTGTGTGATATATTCTGTTGATTCAGCTTAGGATTCACACATAAAGCTTGTTAGTTCCTTGCATAATTGTGAGAGAAAGCAACAAACGACCAAATTACTTCTAAATGGACATTCGTCTATCAGTAGGTAGACCATAAAAAAGTCAAAAAACATCCTTATTTTCTTGTCTTATTGTAGGGGGCCAAAGTTATGACCACTTTCATCAAAACCTCTTACCAAACAGAAAATGACCATGATTAGACATCAATTTTACTTCGCACTTAAAAACCTTATGTCCGCTATTTTCTTTTTGAAGATGAGCATATTGGTCAAGCAACATCGACTTTTTTACATGCTCTTTGTCGAAAAAGTGAAAAAATAAGAAATCTTCATTTTGGGGCCTTGTAAATCTTTTTTATTGTTATTTTCAGATGCAAATAACAATGAAATCTTGAAAGTAAAGGCAGAATATTAAGGGCACTTCTCTATTTTTTCACCTTGTTGTCAAATGCGGAGCGCATGTCCGATTGAGCTCAAATTTATAGTAGATATAGAACTTCGAAAAAGAAAACCGATGTATTTTTTTCCAGAATTTTTTGATATGTTCTTCTATGGATTTTCTGGAAAACTCCAGTTTTTATCCAGTCGCATTACCACCCCTCAAAAAAATAGTCCGATCGAGCTCAAATTTTTACTACAGCTACTTTAGACCTTATCTCAAGATGTAAATTTTTTTTTAAATATGCTTTCCTTCTTCGGATACCCAAAAAATCTTGCATAGAAAACTGGTTTTTGATTTTAAAAACCTTCTCACACAGAAAGTTGAAACTGAAAATGCTTAAAAACAATTTACATCCTGAGATAGGATATGAAGTATCTGTGGACAAAATTTGAGCTCGATCGAACCATGTTTTCAAGGGGTCGTAATGTGACTGAATTTTAGGGACTATCGAAAAACCGCATACTGAGAAAAACACATATTGTATAGAGGGTTCTGTTCTCAGGGCATTTGCGGTGATGCTTATATCTTCACGAAAAATCATCAGAAAATTCTGGACGACTTCTCATTTTAAGGAGCTTACTTTCTTCTATCGTGCTATTTATACCAAAAGGTTTTGAATGTATAGGTTTATGTCTAAGAAAATTGAGATTTTTTAGGCTTTGAAGGAAAAACTTCATAATGTTTTCGAGGAAGGTACTGAAGAGCTGGGAGTGGTCTCATTTTATAGCCCAGTCTTTCCTTTACATTAGACTATGTTCAGCTCTAATTGAAAAGTATTTTGTAAAAAAGAGGGAAGAGTACCCTGAAGTGATTGAACATGTATCAATTATTGTTCTGAAATTATATTTGACTATAGAAATAAAAGGGCAAGCTTTAGTCAAGCTAGTTTGCTTTTCAAGAATATAAGAAATATAACACTGCTATGAAAATCATTTTGAACAAAACACTTTTATTCGTTAGCGAGCCTCAAGATGATGTTAGAAAGACATCGAAAGCTCGCTAACGAATAAAAGTGTTTTGTTCAAAATGATTTTCATAGCAGTGTTATATTTCTTATATTCTCGATTATTTATTACTGCTTTACCCTCTGCGTTTAGTTTGTTTTTGTGTCATATTTTTGCTTTTAATCATATAACTTTTTTAGTGAGACTGTTTATACATTACTATAGATAATCAATTGAATTATAAGTTTATTGAATTATATTAATAAAATCTTCAAATATTTCCTGTGATGTTCTAACTATGCTTTTTTGTATAAAAGACCCATAAATGCTTCTTTTACTTTTTAAAATATCGAAATAAATTAGACGTATTTTAACTACTATTATTTCTGATTCTGTTTAGAAAACTTAATGGTCATTTTATGTTTTTATCTTCTTTTATTATTCAGAACAAAATGGTGCTCTGAAGTGTATTGAAAAAACTTCGTCGAGAAGAGAAGAAGATGCGTTTATTATTAGTCGATTTTGGGTAATGCTGGAAAAATTGACAATATTATAGTGCATTAACGACGAAGAAATTGATTAACATAAAACAGATTTAACATAAAAACATTTGTCTATGACATTTAAACATTGATTGTCTGAGATATTGGTATAGTATGACTTACGCGGCAATTTACTCCATTGTCAAGTGGTCACAATCTTCGTACAGCATTAACAATAACACAAACAAATAAGTAAGAAAAATCTTATTCATTTCTCCTTCATTTTTTATTTATGTAATCATCTCTCAATTTTAGTCGACATGATAATCATACATCAACAACGGCATTTAATTATGAATTTCCTCTTACAATTCTATGTGAAGATAAATTTGGGCGACTAATTTCCCATGAATTATGTTTACTAGACAATGCGACAATCACAGAAGTATACTACTTGTCCATTTCTTGTCTATGATAATTTCTTGAATTTTCTTTTCTTTTCTTGTGTAGAGAGTGATCCACAAAAAATTTACCCATTTTTGTAATGGACTTTCTATAGCTTTAGAATTCAACTTTTGATCCGATTCTTTTGGCGATAGAATGAGTTGCTACGTAGAACTGTTGATGTTTTTGAAAAGATTCTACCATAAGCAGAGACTAAAAAGCTTTATTAAATATGAAGTCTGTTCTGGAACGGTAAATCTTCACCAGGAAGCAAAAAAGACGCTTTAAGACAATTACTCTTGAAGTTTGTTGTGGTTGTCGAATTCTTAATATTTTATTAATAGAAAAACGAATTCCGCATAATCTCTTGGTTATTTTTTTAACGATTTTTTCAATTTTCACACGATCTTCTAAGCTTAATGCTAACTGATGTTATATGCCTCTTCATTATACTACATTATGAAGAAAGCAAAATTATCAATGATTTAGGCATATTTTTGTGGACATTTTAGAGCTTTTTCTCTTGAACATAATTGATCGTGCTTACAGCTAATTCCAGTGGTAAAATAGCGAAATTTATACCACATATCTTTTTATACAAAATGTGGAATACTGTTGTTGTATGAATATTTCTATAATAATATCAATCATTCCAAATGATTTATATGTTACTTAAGCTGTGAATACTTATAAGTACATTCTGAAAATTTGCAGTCAAAATAGTGTTTCGTCGTTGAATTATTGAATTCTTACAGAGGAGTTGAAAAACAGCAAAGATCATTTTGTTCTAGGACAGATTTCATATTTAATAAATCTTTTTAGTCTCAGCTTATCGTGGAATCTTTTCAAAAATATAAACAGTTCTACTTAGTAGCTCTTTTTTCAGCTCGTTCTACTGCCAGAAGAATTGGATCAAAAATTAAATTCTAAAGCTATAGCAAGACCATTACAAAAAGGGATAACTTTTTTATGGATCAGCCTATGGATCAGAAAAACCAGTTGAGCTATTAACTAATTTACTATTAAAAACTCAAGAATGGAGAGGGTTCAACGGCAGCAAAGATTTGGTAAGAAATATGTAGTTTGAAAGTAAGGGTACTCAGCTGTTTAAAGGTTTTGTTATTTTGTTGAGTAGAAATAGTACTTTACGACTGCAATTAATATAATACTTCTAGAGTTGAGCTTCAAACACTTTGTCTGTAATGTTACTGTTACCATATCAGAAAATACGGTGAATTTTGTTAATTAACTCGATAAAACTGTTTAAACGAATGATGTAATAGGATGAAGCTATTCAAAAGTAGTTTAAATTAAAAAAGAGAAGAAAAAAGTTGAAACTCTTTTTGTCAAAGTCTACATTTCATTAGAGAATTAGATGCGTTTGCCGCGCTGCACCAAATTTGATGAAAAGCTAGATCTGGCAAGTCTGGGAATCTAAAAAACACTTGAAACA